TATATATATATAATACACACATAAGGTTATATAACAGAAATCCTTTACTGTAAAAAAATATTAGTTAATTGTACACATTACTAACGAAATTACAACAAATTTTAAAATGGTATTATAGAGCGTATGAAAAAAATTAGATTCCTTTTCCATAAAAATTATAATTTATTTTAACGTATAAAATAAAATATATGCAAATAAATCTTTTCATACAGTTTTTTTCTTAAACAGCGAATTTCATTACAACAGCATCGGTTTTTTGCTTCGCCGATTTTGAAAGAGACAGCTCCACATTATCACAAAAAACCCCGAGTTAAATCTAATTCCATTGAGTCTCGTTGCGGTACGCATCCTGTTGTAATTCATTTCGTAAAAGAAAACCTCACTTTCTGATATAAATATTCGATTCACCGGTTAAAGCGTCGCCACCCTTTGTAAGTATATCACGAAGAGGTTTTCAATTTCAATGTACTTTTTCTCTCTTGTGCGCGAAGGTAAAACGGAAGGGATTGGTATCACTACGTTTCTCTCGAAGAAACCCCGCGAAGAAAACTTTATATATGAGCGTCTTTAATCTAAACCCTAACGGTAATCATATGCTTCTTTCTCTTAATCACTTCGTAATTCTTAATATCACAATACCGCCACTAAGGCCTTTAATCGCACTACGATGAAAAGCGACTGAAGCAAAGTAAAAAAAACAGAACAAAAAAAGGGTAAAGAAGTAAAAAAATCTAGACACAAGGAAACGCGAACAGGTATTAACCACAACGTAAGTAGTAGTACGTACGGTCAACGAATAATAATAATATAATAACATGACAAATTGAAGCGAAGATTGTGAACAATAATTTAATAGCAGAACGTTAATCTTCTCTTTAATCTTTCGTCCCTTTCAGCGCGTTAAATAGCAAAGGCGAGCTCATTTCGTCATTGTTTTTTTGTGAAAATCTATTTGAAGCTACAGAGTTAAAGCGATACAGTTTCAAGATGGATCGTCTCTCAGATTACACCAAGAAATATAGTTCAACTATCTAGCTTAGTGAAACAAAATATTACGCACCAACAATACAGAAAGTGAAAGCATATTGCTCATCACTAAACATCCGACGCGATTAATAGCTACCTGACTATGATTAATCAGTAAAACGCGTTCTAAAAACTTTGTTATAAGTCTTATAATCACATATCCTCTTCAAGAACGAAGATGCGAGAGACCACTCCTCGTGATATAAGATCTACCACTATTAGAACTTGTCTCGCGCGCTATCACAATTATCGAACGCGTAATAGGCCTCTCTCCTTAAACAGTATTGCATGGTGACAGCAGAACAAAAGAACGATGGTGTTGTCATTAACCCTTTAAATGACTCGCCATTCAACGGTGAAAACATGTTAGTCCGGATCTACAATAGAGTTTTAAGCCTTAAGCCATAAGAAATGGACGAATCACAGTCGTTTATTCTTCTCGGATTCGACTGTAATTGGTCAATTTCTTACGGCTTAAGGCTTAAAACACCTATTGTAGATCCGGGGTTATGATTCATCCTTACAGTTACAATACTTATTCTTACTCCAAATCTAGATCCCTAGATTTTGGAAAGCTTAAATTCTATGATCCTCAACTCCAACGATCTTCAAATTTTACATATCTTATAAACTACGAGTATTCGCAAATATTTTTTTTAATTCTAGCGTCCTTCGAATCTAATTGTTTACTTATTTTCTGGATTACAATTAAATATAATTCAACTGAATTCTTTAATCCCTGATTAATCTTATAGGTTGAAATGTCGGGTTTTTTATTCATTGATCCATTTTTTTTTAACTATTAGATCTGTGGACATCTAGATTCTTCAACTTTTTTAGATCCATACTGAACCGTTGTGCCTCTCCGTTGCAGATGATGATTTTTTCAATACATTTTGTACGAAACTCTGAAATAAAATATCAAATAAGAAATGATTCATTGGCTGCATTCAACAGAGAAAGTAACTTTGCAATTGTTGTAAAATTCTTTAATAAAATTAAAATATAACAATAACTGAAAATTACAATAATTGTATACTTTTTATGCAAATGTATAAATTTTAGTAATATTATACAACATAATGATATATAATACATTATATACATTATATTTGCATGTTCGTACATATATGTATATATATATATATATTTATGTGTGCATGTATGTGTGTGTGTAAAAGAATAACAGAATTTAAGAAAAATTCAACGTAATTTTTGTGAATTAATATGTAAATATTTGTGTATATTTAACTTCAATTCAATTTTAAAGGAGAGTACACTTTTAATGATTTCCACGATTGAAAAGCAATCGTTTCATTTTTACATTTTCTTCTTTATTTTTCTTTATAGAAACAAAAAATTATCATAATAATGACATCACATTGAAGGAAAATTATACCTAACGAAATCGCTATCATATATCATTTATGCATCAATAATTTGAAAACTAAGTTTTAAGTTATTCAAGCATAATTGACAGCGATTTTGAAACGATATGAATTGATACGAATAGTCCGGGAGATGATGACACTAAAATGGTCATGATTTGTTACCGCTTGAAATCGTCATTATTCGTCATTTATTAGGTAAACATGCAGGAAACGCAAGCACAGTATATACAGTAGCGCAACTCTCTGTCGGCACCTTTGATGTTAGTGTTGGCCAAAATGGAGTGCGCATGCGTGAAATAAGCAAGTTACCACAAGTTACCTAGCGTTACCACAGTATATCTTTCTCTTTTTAT